AAAAAAGTGTTTGGTGGGATGGGGGCGCGAACCCGCGACCCGCAGATTGCGAGTCGAGCGTGCGTGAAGCTAACGACATGATATATAAAACTTGTTAAGGGTATATACCCGGAAAATCCACAACAATATGATCAGTTTGTAAATAAAAGGATAATAAGTACCTATTTTGCAGGAGAACCTAGTGTCATAACATTTTATAAATAAATTACTTTTATGCTTCATATTTTGTTCTAGTGTCGGATTTGAATCGGTGTTTAGAACCTATAGAAGTTAATTCTTTATCAAAAGCGAAGTAGCCCTATAAGTGACATTTTTTTTATCAACTCTTTTAGAAACCAACTTACTGTCATTTGATTACACAGTGCCTAACGTCATAGGAAACACATAAACAAGAAGATAGAAATATATATATTGGCAGGTGAATATATAAATAATGTACGGTGTGTAAACATACAGATGTAAAGGTAGACAAATACAAATAGACGCAGTTAGGCATAATATAAATAATAAAAGGTTATAAACGAATTGCATATTTCAATAAATTTTTCGAACAATTTACAGCCAGTCAAAAAAATCTTTCTTAAATTTAAAACAAACTTAAAAGTTTAAAACATAAAGCCATGTAAATTGTATATGAATGCATCAATTTACTTGTATGTATTAAATATACTGACGGTTAAGTATACCACAAATAGAAACATACACTTAAACAACGATACAGAGATGCAGATAAGAAGGTAAGTAACAGCTGGGCTGAAAAGTTTGTTTTCTTACCTGGATTCTTGGAAAACGACATGCTTCTAACTAAAAGTGGAGAAGTAACTGCCAGATTTGGATTGTCAATGGACCACTGAAAGATTGACATTAACGACGATAATGAAATTAACGACGATAATGTCAAGTCACAAATATTCATATTTTCTTCTTTAAGTACACGTGTAATTCGTAAATTAATTGTTTAAAAGATTACCTCATCTAGATAATACACCAACTTAATAGTTGGTATCTTTAATTTGAACGACATAGTTCAAATGGCACATAAACGATCCCTAATTTAGATCTATTCACCAGAGGGAGAGCTACTCCTAATCGAATAGCAGGATCGACTGTCATGGTTATAACGCCCCCAACGTTGAAATTGCGAAGCATGTTAGTGGTATATTGCGGATCAAACCTTGAACCTTTCGAATGTAGTTTCGGAACGTCAACCACTAGGTCCACATCTGGCCATAAGTCAGTTTACTGCTATTTCGACATATATAGAAAAATCAATGTGATAGAAACACTTAAAACATTAAAATATGAAATACCTGGAAGTATGTGTTTTTTTTTTTATAATGGTTACACAAGGGCTATCTATGCATAGCCGTCCATAATTTTGAGCTGATAGACTAAACAGAAAACATACAGTCAACTACACCCACCGCCAACTCTTCGGCTGCTCTTGTGGGATCGATATAATGGGATTTGACCGTTACTCACATACAGAACCCATAGAGCGAGCGCGGGTTTAGAGGAATCAAACCACGAACCTCCGGATTGACAGTTCGAGCAAGCTAACTACAGGAGACAGTCGTTGGTTAAACCCTTCTAATAGTTATACTTGAATCTTGCACTAAATACGTTTCATGCGCGGCCATTTTTGTTCATTTTTAGTGAAGTTAAAAGAACAATATACTAAACTCATAATCCGAAATAAATTCAGTCTTTGATATTGGTTTTAAATAAACACTAAATATTCATTCAGTCAGCTTGTAATTATAAACTATGTATGTGACGTTTCCAAAGACTTACTCAGTTTGTTTGTTTGTTTGTTGAATTTGGCGCCAAGGTACTCGAGTACTATCTGTCCCTAATTTAGAAGTAATAGACTAGAGGGAAGGCAGCTAGTCAACACCACCCACCGTCGACTCTTGGGCTACTCTTTACCAACGAAAAGTGAGATTAATCGTCATATTATAAGGCCTCTATGGCTGTAAGGACCAGCATGTTCAGCAATGGGATTCGAACCTGCAACCTTAAGACCTGATCAACCTTATTCTTTATGAATCAATATAATTTTTAAAGTATAGAGGGCGGGTTAGAAAATAGGATTTATTACTCGGTTCTATGTAGGAGAAATATGTTTGACTACAGATTTGTATGTAAATATAGTTACTGTAGATACAACATGATTTAACCATCAATACTTAAAACTAAGTAATAAAACTATTATACAGAAGCTGGATCTTTTTTTTTTATATATATATATGTCAGCTTTTTTTGTTATTTAATGTGCTTATTTTCTGAGAAAATATTTACTGCCGAGAAGACATATTTAAAAAAAAAAAGAAAGGAAGAAGAATGAAGATTTGGTGAGCTTATGACTGGGAAGAAAAAACTTAGCAAAAGGATATGTTTCGTAAAATTTATTGAAGATAAAATTGGATTCGTTATTAGGTCTTATGTCTGAAAGCACATTTTAAGCTTACAATACGAGCTCCTAAGGGTCTGTCTGTTACTACGTTGCTTTTGTTTTGCAGAATTTTGTCGTTTTTATTAGTATACTTTATATTTTGTTACACGTTTTTTACACCAGAGGTTGTGACAGGAGCTCAAAGAAAAAGAAAAAAGAGAGTGTCAGTTTATTTCACTCTAAGTCAAGGCTTAGCAACGCGTATTAGTTTATCTTACTCAAATTCAGGCTTAACAGTTTTGTATATTTTCGAAGACTAACTTAGCGCTATCAAAAATGACAAAACAACCACTTTAGATTTAAGAAAATAATCTTGGAGTTACGAATTTAAAACAGCTCAGGAAACTGGTATTATAATTTTTTTTTCTAACGGCTTTATATCCCAGCTACTGTTCAGCTATTTAAAAATAAAAGGAATTCCGTCAACTAATTTTTATCACGTGCCTTATTATTACTTCGTTACGTAACTTTTAAGTCTGTTAGGCTTGCCTTTTTTTTTACATTTTTCTCTTGTATTCCATTATAAATTAACATTGTTATTTATTTCCAAAAGAAAATTTTTCTGAGATATAAAGTTTCTGAAGAACTCTGTCGGACTTAATTAAATCAAATTTAAAGAATTTGTCCGTTTTGTTTACTAAATCTTAAAATTGAAAGGCCCTTTGAGTCTGAAGCTTATAAAATCGATCATTTAAGACACAAATATTAAGTATCAACCGTGTATCCTAAAAGGATAAATACATCTATATAGTTTGAAAATCCTTTATATACAGTATATTGACGATAAAAAATAACGAGACAGCTGTACTAAAACTTACAGACTGTTGTAAGATGACATTGATAAATCCGTTCTGACCAATCCCAGTATCACCATTCAAAGAATACCACGTATTCAGTGTTTTTCATCTGAAGACGTCTGACGGAATTTCGGTTTGGCACCAAGCTAATATTTTCTTTATCATAAAAACTTTCTGGAAAAGAACGTGTTTGTACACCACAATATATCTTTTTTTTACACAATAATTAATTAGCAAAACAACAATTTATTAGCATAATGAAGGGATTTATATATTTAAAATCATAAATAATATTCAACGTTAAAACTGGTACACATTTTATTTAGGCCTATCTATGACCTTCAAAAAATTGACGACAGGTTTCGACGTTACAACGTTAGGTATTACTTTCTAAAGTTAACAATCCAGGTATTACTTTCTAAACTCCCCCACAACATTAAAATGTTAGCATGGTCTCCTCACCATTATACAAGTGATCATTTCGTCTCTCTCTTGAATTTAAGGCCCATAATGAGCTTAACTGGGTAAAGGTTTCTGGAAGCTTAATGTTTCTTACAATAGAATAATGACGTTTTAGCAGAATTAGCAGTCTGTTTTTAGTGCTATCTGTGACGTCAATGGTCTAAATACCCAATGGTGTGAATAAGTAAAGTTTAAAGCAGGTGAAGCTTTAAAAGAGCTAAGTAGAACGATTATCAAAGAGCAGCAGAAAGTTATTTACGAATTGGAAAGAACCGATAACTGTTTGGCTAGATTTGCAGATGGAGACCCTGCTTTCCTGGAATCCACCATTAAAGAAGAGCTAGATAAATTGGGTGATGACAGAGGTAATCATTTAAGATTAAAGCAGGGACGAGTAAAATAGAAGAAAAATTTAGTAGTAAATTTTAAGAACTTATGCTGGAAATAATGGGCAAATTTCGGATCCAGAGCATGCTAACCGACTCCCCAGACCCCTTGAAAAAAATGTAGATGAAAAAAAATTATATACGTTCATTACATTGTTAACACTGCAGACTATTGTAACGTTCTTTCACTACATTGTTAACACTGGCAGACTATTGTAATGTTCTTTCACTACATTGTTAACACTGGCAGACTATTGTAATGTTCTTTCACTACATTGTTAACACTGGCAGACTATTGTAATGTTCATTTATTACATTGCTATGTTGATTTAAGTTCATATCACTCTGGTAATTTAGATACATTTTTGAAAATTGTTTATTTTGTTCTGTCGATCTACGAGAAGGCTTGCCGTCGTCCTGTGGGTATTGTTTATTTTGTTCTGTCTAGACTTGAATTTTCTGACTTGATCTACGAGAAGGCTTGCCATCGTCCAGTGGGTTCGTTGCACTCAATCGCAATCTGCGGGTCGCGGTTTCGAATTCCTGTCGCTGAACGTTTTCAGCCGTGGCGTCCAATTCCACAATTTGTTGGTAAAAGAGTAGCCCAAGTGTTGTCGGTGGGTGATGTTTACTACCTGCCTTTTATCTAGTCTGTTAATACTAAATTAGAGACAGATAGTCGTCGAGTAGCTTTACACGAAATTCAAAACACTGTTCATGCAACGAGTGCTCGTTAGAAAAAATGGTGTGGAACCGTTTCAAGGAAAAGTGAATTTACCAATGTTATCATAGTTAAAATCATTTAAGAAGTAAACGGTACAATAGTCTGCCAGTGTTAACAATGTAGTGAAAGAACGTTACAATAGTCTGCCAGTGTTAACAATGTAATGAATAAACGTTACAATAGTCTGCCAGTGTTAACAATGTAGTGAATGAACATTACAATACTCAGCCAGTGTTAACAATGTGGTGAAAGAACATTACAATACTCAGCTAGTGTTAACAATGTGGTGAAAGAACATTACAATACTCAGCCAGTGTTAACATGTAATGAAAGAACATTACAATACTCAGCCAGTGTTAACAATGTGGTGAAAGAACATTACAATACTCAGCCAGTGTTAACTATGTAATGAATAAACGTTACAACACTCAGCCAGTGTTAACAATGTAATATATTTTTCCTAAGATTATCTAGGTATGTTTCTGGTATCTAATTTTTCAAATGAAAATCATGTTAAAATCAGTGAGAAAAAAAAATGATTATCACTGGCTGGGAAAAATTAAGTTTTAACAGTTGCCACCAGGGGAATAGTGTTTACCTTCAACTGTATTTGCTTAAATTGAAAATAAAATGAAAAGAATTAATCGAAATGCTCTCAACCGTTGTTTCATACAATAAAATAGTCACTCTTTTCATATGTCTCAACCAGTTTCAACAAGCATGATTTTTATTATAATAAAAACAATAAAGCTTAAACGCGCTACTAGCGGTTTTAATTGGTACTACGCCAAAAGGACCACGGCTAAGTAAAGTCAATCAAACCTGATTTTGAAGTCGTTTAAATCGGTAAACCAGGATAAAATTTGTGAAAATCGGCAACAAAAAAAAGAAAGAAAACAAAGAACTTTGCCAATAAAGTTACTGTATTCGTCACTAGATGGAAGCAGTTGTACTTTTATCAAACTGTTTCCTCTCGCACAATTTTCGGTTAACAATAAAATAATTGATAAAACAGTGTAAATTAACTTTTAAAAAGCGAGAAGTAACAGGCGAAACCGGAAAACCAACAACTACTACAAATAACTTATATCAGCAAACGCTTGTCTTGTTCAACTCACCAATATGGACGGAGGAGTCGAACTCGGAACATTTGCTGCTGTTGGTACTGTACGTACTTATAGCTACAAAAATGTGGTATCAAAAAATAAAACAGATCAGTGATACGTTCCCGGAATTATGTAAAACACATGTAACGCCTACCTCATTACGTTGTCACAGAAACTGGATCAAATGTAGCTATTATCTCCAAACTCACGGTCTAAAGAAGATGAAAAGTCTAAAGTGGTATTAATAATATTAGCTTCAAAGTTTTGAGTTGTTTAATAAATGTTTTTTCTTTCTTTAATCTTTAAAAATAAATACAGACGAGATGAAAAGTAGATTTATAATACATTTATAATGAGCCTACTTTTAGAGATATCTAAGTCAAGTTTTCTTTTAAATTTATGGTATATTACAGACATGTCTATGCATGAATTATGTATTACGCAGAACATACATATTAGGTTTTCATAGAATTTGGAATTGCATTTTTCAACCTGTACGGCACTTAATGCAGAGGTAGGATTTAGGCATAGCCGTCACCAGGTTTGAAGAAAAAAAAAGCAAGCTAGCCAGCCAGCAGGACCCACAACCACGAGGACATTCTCTGTCTTTTAAATCAAATAAAGGGATTGATTATCATTCTAAGCTTACTTGGTTTTTGAAACTATCCGAGGAGCTACAGTATGTAGAAGTATGTTAAGCGACTCCTCATGAGCATAAGATGGGCTTTTATTTGGTCTGTAAGTACAAAATATTTGTTTTTTAAATAACGTATGTTCACACACACACAGACACTTTTAGAGCTTTTAGTCCCTGCCTAATAGAGTGTTTGAAAAGTACTCTGGTCACGTGGTTACGTTGTCTCTTAGGTTGACTTGCCAAAGCATTTGTTAGAGCTTACAATACCTGCCTCCGTTTTTTTTTTTAAGATAGAACAAACGTTCTTTGTGTGAGCATGAATACATCGAGCTGTGGTGATAATGAAGAAGACAGTCAACACAGAGACTGAAACACTGAAAAGGAACGTGAAATTATGCTCTTGAGACCGTCTATATAAGGACAGCATAGCCTTTTACAGATAAATAACACATTAAATAAAAACTCAAGGAAACGTTAAACACATATATAAAACAGTTTATTATGTTTACATGATTCGCGAAGAATGAAGTAGCTATCAATTGTTCTTTAGTTAGCCACATGATATAAACCTTTTCTCCCTTGTGATTTTAATGGACGCATCACCTGTTTGGGAAATGTTACTACGTTATAACATAAAGTTCCGTGACTTGTTATGAAAAATAACAATTTTTTTTACCTGCAAATATTAAGTAGAATATGATATTCATTCAAATGAAGAAAGATAGCGGAGAAAAGTATTATTTTTTTAATTTTGACTTTGCTGGTTTTCTTTCTATAAAAACCCTCCGCCAACATAATGATAGACAGTTTCTCTTGTATGATAAACACGATAATTTGTATAATTCAGTACTATTTTGTTGAATCTTGTGCCCTGGAATATGTTTTAAAGTATAATAGTGACAACTTGGAACATCTAAGAATTGAGTAATCAGGAGAAAGAGATTGTTGAAACAATGCAGAAATATAAAATCAGGCTGCTAGAAATATCAGACGCAAGAAAGAAAATGTTAGTCAGTTAGAAGATACACGGAGGTTACACTCTCTTGTGGGTTGAAATTGACCAAGAGATCATGGAGTAGGTGTCGTATTATATTTGGACACAACAGAGGTAGCAAACATAACAGAAAACTGATCAAAGTAAGAATTCAAAACAAATAAAAGACGTACTCCTACATAACGACGTATGAGCCATGTAACGACTCTAGAGAAAAAATAAGAACGATTTGAAAGTCTGACCGACATTTTAAATAAACTGAGGAGAGAGATGAGGTTCACCATGTATACAATGAACACATAGGACACCATGTATACATTGAACACTTAGGACACTATGTATACAATGAACACCTAGGCCACCATGTATACATTGAACTCCTAGGCCACCATGTATACATTGAACACTTGGGACACTATATATACAATGAACACATAGGACACCATGTATACATTGAACACTTGGGACACTATGTATACAATGAACACCTAGGCCACCATGTATACATTGAACACCTAGGACACCATGTATACACTAAACACCTAGGCCACCATGTATACATTGAACACATAGGACACCATGTATACAATGAACACCTAGGGCACCATGTATACAATGAACACCTAGGCCACCATGTATACATTGAACACTTGGGACACTATATATACAATGAACACATAGGACACCATGTATACATTGAACACCTAGGGCACCATGTATACATTGAACACCTAGGGCACCATGTATACATAGGACACCATGTATACATTGAACACTTAGGACACTATATATACAATGAACACCTAGACCACCATGTATACAATGAACACCTAGGGCACCATGTATACAATGAACACCTAGGAACACCTAGGACACCATGTATACATTGAACACCTAGGCCACCATGTATACAATGAACACCTAGGGCACCATGTATACAATGAACACCTAGGAACACCTAGGACACCATGTATGCATTGAACACCTAGGACACCATGTATGCATTGAACACCTAGGACACCATGTATACATTGAACACCTAGGGCACCATGTATACAATGAACACCTAGGACACCATGTATGCATTGAACACCTAGGACACCATGTATACATTGAACACCATAATCGTACATTGCTCCAGGAATTGTGCACACAACAAAATATTTCTGTTATTTATCAACATATTTTTCCAACATCAGCGGAGTCAAATAGTTACTTGTTAAAAATGGAATCACAGCTAGACACCGATCATAGACCAATAGTACCGGACATGAAGACAGGATGATGTCACACATAGACACGGATCATAGACTAATAATACCGGACATGAAGACAGGAGGATGTCACACATAGACACGGATCATAGACTAATAATACCGGACATGAAGACAGGAGGATGTCACACATAGACACGGATCATAGACCAATAATACCGGACATGAAGACAGGAGGATGTCACACATAGACACCGATCATAGACCAATAATACCGGACATGAAGACAGGAGGATGTCACACATAGACACCGATCATAGACCAATAATACCGGACATAAAGCCAGGAGGATGTC